GGTCCACACCGGGGAGAAACCGTACCGCTGCCCTATCTGCGCCAAGGCCTTCGCCCTCTCCTCGGGGCTGGTCCTCCACAAGCGCACCCACACCGGGGAGCGGCCCCACGCCTGCCCGCTCTGCGGCAAGGCCTTCATTTCCTCATCGCACCTCGCCCTCCACCTCCGCTCCCACACGGGCGAGCGGAAGTACCAGTGCCCCATCTGCGGAAAGCTCTTCCTCCAGTCCTCCCACCTGGTGCGCCACAAGGCCATCCACACCGGCGACAGGCCCTTCAAGTGCGAGGACTGCGGCAAGCTCTTCGGGCGTGCCTCGCACCTCGCGACCCACCGCCGCGTGCACACAGGCGAGAGGCCTTTCAAGTGCCTGCAGTGCGAGAAGGCCTTTACACAGAAGGCTGGGCTGGTCCTCCACGTCCGCCTGCACACTGGGGAACGGCCCTACAAGTGCGAAAAGTGCGGGAAGAACTTCCGCTCCTCTGCCCACTTGGTGTCACACCAGCTTCTTGAGTCGGGCGAGAGGAACTTCAAGTGTTCCACCTGTGGGAAGGCCTTCAAGCAGGCATCGTCCCTCAAGCAGCACCTGAAGACCCACGAGGCACGCGAGCCTCACCGCTGCTCGGTCTGCAGCCGAGCCTTTTCCAGGTCCTCTTACCTCCAGCTTCACATGAGAACACACAGTGGGGAGCGGCCGTACCACTGTTTGCTTTGCAACCGAACATATGCCAAAATTTCCACCTTTGAAAAACATTGTAAAAAGCACCAGCAGGATGAAGAGAGGCCTGGTGCTAGACCCAGGCCAGTGACCACCAGGGCAAAAGTACTGGCTGAAAAGAAAAAGCAGGAGCAGAAACAGAAGCACCGAGATGGCAGCCTCAAGCAACCTCACCAGGCTGACCCAAAGCAGCAGTAGCAGCAGGTGGAAAGGCTGTAAAAGTCACTAAAACAAGAACTGTTCCTGGCCCTCCACAACATGGCTCACGGAAGGTAGAGTGTCTGCTTTAATTTTTATGAAAAGAAAATTACATGCTGCACCAGCATGCACCAGTTACTCCAGAGTGTGTTTCCAAATGGAATTCTTTGTCTGACGCAAGGTTCAGTGCACTTTTCTGGGATGCAGCAGATATGTAAAAGTCTGCTGAGGCACCTGGCAGTTGGTGTGGCATGCAGAATGCTCCGTGGTTACAGGGGCATTTCACCCTGTTCATGGCCTCGGTGGTTTTGTTTCACGTCAGTAGCGTTTTCTAGCACAGACTTCCAGGGGTTCCTGACCAAAGCACCTGCTTTTACCCAGATTGAAAGAGGGATGCTTCTTTGTATGCAGAAATAAATTAAGTTGTAGTCTCTCAAATAAAGGCAAAGTTTTTGTTGGAAGAGGCAAGAGAGGTGGCGCACCTACAGAAAACAGATTTGTACCAACAGTGGGTTTAGGAAACAAGCAGGAATTTATCCTGCAAAATGGAATTTGTTTTTAAAAGCACAGTACGTAACGAGAAGGTAGCATCTTTGAGCCTTTTCTGTTTTTCTCACTGTTAATTACAACAAGGCATTGTACTTAGCATCCAGATAATGCTGTGTATGAAGTGCGCTTAAAGCACAGCAGGTTTTATTGCCAAAGCAATTTAACTCATCTTTCTCAAAACTAATGAAGACAGGTGTCAAAAATCTGTAATTCATCTTAAATTGAATGAGTTTGATGTTTGAAATACCAGTTTGTAATAAAGGTACAAGAATTTTTTTTTTCTTTTTTTTTTTACCTGATCTCTTGGGAATGTAAAATGTAGTAACAAGGGAATTCTAAGCCCTGTCTCCTTCTAACTTAACGCATGGCTGTAGCTGGTTCACTGGTCAGTCACCATGCTGAGGGAATGAGGGAAGATGCCACAAAAGGGTTGCTGTTGAAGCGGAATGTTTCAGATTTACTTTGGGGTGTGAGATCGGACTCCAGTGAGTACTAAATAACTTTGTAAGCATAAATAAAACTGCCTTTATTGCAGCAGTGTTCTTTGTGAGCCAGCACTTTGTACTGACTTTTTATAAGCTTTATGTCATTCTAGCAGTAGTACTATGAGGCTACTTTATGCCTTTATTTATCACTTATTGTTACCCATGAATTTATTATAGCAGAAAAAAGGAAGCAGTGAGTTCATTTTAAGTGCACATTCCTAATTTTCTGTACGATTTTTTTTAACGCTATTTCCGTGCTATTGTGTGCGAACACGTATTATGCACTTTAAGGATCTTTTTGGATAGGCTTCTGGTTTTGGTTTCTATAGCATATTCATAACTCTGTTTTAAGGCCAAAAAAAGGAATTTTCGGAAAGCTTGCACGTTTAAATTATTGCAGTGTATCAGGCCAGAAATCATGTTAGTAGATGATAGAGCTGGATTACATCTAAGAACTAATTTACAGCTAAGAAAACTGCAGTGATAACTTTTTGCACTTCAGGGTTTACTTGGTGCTGGGTATACTGAGATATAACTCTTACTGTTGAACTGATGTTTATATTCAGCTGGTTAATATACTTTAAATATTTATGTGGTCAGATATTTTAAATGAGATGTTTCTAAGCCAGAGTTTCTTGTCATGACAAATTCTAATGTAAATTTTTGCTACAGTCTTTAGATTTTGTTTTGTGACCAGGCATGTTGTTAAGGAGGAACTAGACACACTAGGTTTTATTTCCAGTTCAGTTATGCCTGTGCCATATAAGCAACACTTTTGTATTTCAATACATGTTATTAAAATGATATACACCACTATCTTTTCCTCCAGTCTTTTTTTTTTTTTTTAATCCTGTTCTCACCTAAACATAAAAGTTTGCTTATGGAAGTAAAAAGCACTTGCTAATTTTCTAGCATACCTTAAAACTTAGCTTGCAAAGATAATTGCAAAATAATGATTTGTTTTATTTCTGGTATTTTTCTTTGCCAAACTTGGAGGACAGTGCCATGGTGGTTGTGTCTATACTTGTAACGTGGCATGCCTACATGCAGAATCAAAATTTCAGTGGCAAGAAAATATAAAAGTGGCCTTTTAAATATCAGTTTTACATTGCTCCTTAATAGTTTTGGAGGTGTTTTATTTTGTTTTGTTTAAAAAGCTTCCCATTTTGCTCTTCTAGTTTCCTGCTCTGTCAGCTGCCTTCCCCCTGCAATCCGAAGTCCACACTGTTCAGGATGCAGGATGAACTCAGACTTTGTACAGCAAAATCCAGTGTCAAGAATATTTCAGAATGGAAAAACTGAAAATACGCTCTAATGCCCTGACTGTTGCAGTACAGTAAGTAAGGCCAGGATTTAATAGCTGGTAGGGGAAACAAATTCAATTCGTGGATCACTCACAGAAATGCTGCCGCTTTCTTTTGGAATGTATTTTTCAGCTTAATGTACAGAGGGAGTAGGAATGTGCTTCCATGTCACTAGACTGTCAGGATGGAGGAGCACCTCTCAGTGCCGTCACAGCTTGCAGTGCAGAGTTCTGAACGCATGGGAGACATGGCCCAGCGGCGCAGTGCTTTGTTTACGCAGTTGCTTTACTCCATCCAACAAGGTCAGGAATGTTCTTTCTCTGGGGTCCGTAAAAGTCCACATTTGATTTGTGGATGATTTGCGGAAAAAGCATATTTTGTTTTTCTTTTTAAGATAAATTATTTTTCTTGCTGTCAACATATGAACTCTGCTATTGAATGATTTAGCCTGAGTGCACATCCCATTGACAGTTAACAAGATGGAGAATTTTTTTTTTAGATGTGCTAACAGCAATAATCAGCACTCCCAGTAAGATTAGATCTTACATGGAAGAACTTTTTTGGGGGGGGGTCTGTAGCTCTTCCAGTGCTGGTGATTTTATGTCTGATCCAGAGAGGGGGTTCAGATGTGCTTTGCCTATAATTACCTGGGGAGAGAGTAAAAGTGCAGGTTCTAATCTCCCAGAGCAAAAAGTAATGGCAGCATTTTAAATTATGAAAATGTAATTCAGCAGAGGTACAATACAGCTATGTACTAAATCTTTCCCTGTCTGTCACTTTTCTAGTTTGCAAAGTTAATTTGAGTCTGTTAAACGTCTCATGTTCCTCCTGTTGTTGTATTTTCTTCTCTTTGTTTCACTTTTAGTAATGTTGGTAAGTAGTTTTTGCCTTGACATGGCATTTAATATAAGAAACCATCCGTTGATGCCCTTCCTGGTGGGAAATCCACTTGCATCCTCTTCTATAGGGAGTCAAAAGCCTAACTGACAAATGTGTCCAAGTGTCAGGTAGGCGCTGCTAGTGTAATGCTACTGTTTCATCCTCCCAGGGCCCTGAGAGTCGCACAGCACAGACCTCAGAGCTCCATGTTACCAAACCAGTCTTTCTGCAGGTTGTCACATGCCAGTCTGCACTAATGACAAAAATGTGGATTTTTGAGCTCTCCTGGGATCAATGCAATGTCAGATCAATCTAACCAGTGCCAGTGAGGTATTGTAAGAGCCCACACACTTGGGTATCCAGCAGGCTGAGTCTGCTGGCTGGGATGGGGGCATAACTAAAAATTATTTAATAATGTCATTAGCCTGTCACCTTCCCTTCCTGAAGAGTGAACTATCACTGCCAGAGCCTGAAAACCAATGGTGTCAGGACTGACACTTTTAAGTATCTACTCTGTCGTTGCTGGGAGGTTAGTGAGTTGCTTAAGCCCTTTGAGCCTCCTTCAGAACTGGCTGCAATGTCTGCCTTGCAAAGCTCTGACACTTGCTCCTTGGTCAGCCCCAAGGCTTGAGAGATTTTCTTTTTTCTCCAGAAAGCCTCGCCGCGCTTCTGAGCTCCTCACAGCACTACTCAAACCCCTTGTTGGCATGGCAGCATCCTTTTTCTAGGCTGGACACAGGGGGCTTGCATGGTCCGTGGGGACCCAGGGTGTTAGCAGAGGTGCTGCGTGTGGCTGGCTGTGGCTGTGCCTGTGCATGCAAGGGGACAGCGTGCAGGAGGGATCAGCAGTGGTGAGTTGTTGGCAGAGGCACCTCATGCTATGTGCTTGGGCCAATGTTGCCCAAACTGCTTTGCCTGCCTCGCCCACAGTGCCAGCGTGCAGCTGTCCCCACAATCTGTGCTCTCAGCTGAGGCACCGCCTGTGTCAGAGAGCAGCAGGATACAATGGGAGCAGAGCTGCAATGCAGACTGGGTGGCGCTGAAGCCTGTGACCATGCAGTCTCTGTTTCAGGAATTTCACTTCAGGAAAGCTCTACTTTTCTTGCTGACTGGGGAGGAGTGTCCAGGACTCCAGTAGCCTGAGCACCGCATACTGCACCGCTGGCAGTCAGGGGGCTCACCTCAAAGGAAGACACGCTCTCTTCCTCCCTGACAAGAGGCACCAGCTCTGCTGCGCCGCCTTCTGTGCCAGGTAAAGCCTCTGTGAATTTCCACCAGTGATGTTGCTAAGTCGGGATCAGCCTTACTGGCAGAAACGTGTGCAGTCATACTGTGTCACTTCCTGCTCCTGTTGCTCACCAAGGGACAGGACAGCCTGCTCTGTGTCTCGCCGGCTCTGCTAGCGTTAAAGCCGCTTGTTACACCTACAGCTCTTTGCTGCTGTGATGCTGTGCAGAGCTGCTGAAAAGGCTCGGTTTTGGGGAAGGATTCCTCATCCATGTGAGCACTGCTGGTGCAGTAAGGCAGAAGGCAGTAGGACTTGGAGACCTGCCAGACAGCCTCACCTTGTGCTAAGCATCAGACCCCTCTGCTGAACTCAGATTCAGGGTCGAGAGAGGGTCATAAGAGTCTCCTGCCTAACCTTGGGGACACTCTGGGACAGACGGTGTCCCCATTCTTGTCCTCACACGCTGCCTCAGGTCCATACAATTGTTGGAAACAGTTAAACCAAGAACTGATGAGGATGTTAAAAATGTGGTAGAAATAACTTGGATGCTAAACA